CACCCCCACCCCCTCCCCTACTGGGAAACAACCCCATGTCCCCATGGAGGTGGAATGACAGTTTTGTTGCTTTTTTTTTCTGACCTCATTTTTTATTATGTACCTGAGCAAAAGTTTTAGGCACGTGTGACCTCTAACGACCTCCCCTCTCTGTTTTTTTTGGGGGGGTTTTTTTAAAGCTAGAAAAAAAAGTTTTCTGTCCAACCAGAGCCATTACTCTAAATAATTCACTTTTTTATTTTTATTTTTTAAATAATTGTTATGTCCAGCTCGTGTGTGTGTGTTGCGGAGTGATTTAATGAGATGGGGTCGGGGGGTGTGATTTCTCTCTGCTTCCATTAGAGCCCATTAGAATCATCATTAAAAAAAAGCCAGCATCACTTGTAGTTCCAGCTTTCCCCCACATGGGCGTCAGAACACGTTCCTACATCCAGATCCCCCATCAGGACCATTTTCTCTCTATTTAGATTCAGAAAAACTCTGAAAGCCTTTTCTGGGTCAGAGGTTTTTTCAGATGCTGCGTTTTTTTCCTGATGTGATTAAAAACTGCATCGGAGAAGTGAAAACTCTCCAGAACTTCTCACTGCGTTTCTCTGCTGTTTCCTGAATCCCCAGGGATTCGCACCGAACAGCGGGCGACGTTTGACTTAAATTATCTGTGATCCATTCGTACTGACTGTAGTCTATAGTATCGCAATATATCATATACTGTAGTTGCCCCTGTATTGTGATATGTATTGTATCGCAATATATTGTATAGTTGCCCCGTATCGTGATATATATTGTATCGCAATATATCGTATAGTTGCCCCTGTATCGTGATATGTATTGTATCGCCAAAAAAACCCTCAATATATTGTCGTGTCTATAGTATCGCAATATATTGTGTAGTTGCCCCTGTAGCGTGATATATATTGTATTGCAATACATCGTAGAGTTGCCCTTGTATCGTGATATGTATTGTATTGCCAAAAAAAGCACCTCAATATAAGGTCAGGTCTATAGTATCGCAATATATCATATAGTTGCCCCTGTATTGTGATATGTATTGTATCGCAATATATTGTAGAGTTGCCCTTGTAGCGTGATATAAGGTCAGGTCGAGTTGCCCTTGTAGCGTGATATAAGGTCAGGTCTATAGTATCGCAATATATCATTTAGTTGCCCCTGTGTCGTGATACGTATTGTATTGCTAGATTCAATCGTAGAGTTGCCCCTCTACAGTATGTCACAAAAGTGAGTACACCCCTCACATTTCTGCAGAGATGTCATTATAATGTTTAATTGAACAACACTGAAGAAACATCGCTTTGACACAATGAAAAGTAGTCTGTGTAAAGCTTATATAGCAGTGTAAATTTATTTTTCCCCTCAAAAAAACTCAAAATATAGCCATTAGTAGCT